TGAAGTGCTCCTGGTGTCAATTTTAAAAAAGGGTAGTTCTTCATTCTGCTTCTGTTACTGATCAATCCACTTGCCCAACAATACCAGAGCAATAAAATAGAGAGGGATGTACCCTACTGGTGAAACAAGGAGAAATTCTCATCATTATCTGTCTAGACCACGTCTATGATTGCCAACAAAACCAACAAAATGATCAGTTGGTTTGAACGGGCCTCGTTCATTTACCTCCCAAAGACTTACTAAGAAGACTTTCTAAGCCCAAGTTCTGTAAGACATGAAGGTAGAGCAACGCTGAGCCTTACCCTCCAAAGAGTCATTTCAGAGAGAAAATAGACTAGCTCTGTGGGAATCTTCTGAACAGTTTAACTTCAAAACCATGGTCCACTGGGTTAGCTAAAAACCAAGGCTATCATCTCTTTTTGCAACCGGAGATGATAAACATGATGCTGGATTTCTCCAGCCCAAATGGGCTCCTTGTACCACAGTAAAGTACTAGGTAAAGTTGGGAAAAGTGGGTGGAAAATCCTCACGATGGGTTTTCATGTCTGAGCAGACACACTGGCTGATTTGTGGGTAATGGTATGGTCTCTGGAGTCAGTTAAGCCAGGTCCAAATCCTGCCTCCACCCCTTCTTAGATGTAATTTTGGGGGGCAAGCTATTTAATCTTTCTCAGACTCCACATCTGTAAATTGATTATTATAGTATTACTTTTCCTACAAGTTTGAGGAACTAAATATTCAAATCCTAAGACTGATACCTAGTACATACTATATGTTTATTAAGCCTTCTTTCTTTTTTTATATGGAATGCTTCACGAATTTGCGTGTCATCTTTGCACAGGGGCCATGCTAATCTTCTCTGCATCGTTCCAATTTTAGTATATGTGCTGCTGAAGCAAGCACAAACCTTATTTCTTTATCAGAGTTCACAGGGCAAAGTCAAGTTTTAATGTCCCTGAGGCCAGTTAGCTTCTATCTTCCATGTCCCAAATTATACTCTGAGCAACCATTTTATTTTTACAAATGCATGCTACTAGCCATAATGTGAAGATGGGAAAATAAATAAAAGCCTAAGTCCTAAAGGCAATGGAAAAGCAATTTAGTTGCCAAATACAGAGCACACAATACATATATTCTCAAAGAGACCTTTCCAAAATGAATACTGCCAATGGAAACATTTTGTGCATATGTGAAGAAAAGATAACTGAAGTGACCAGATTTCCCCACACATTTGTTCTGCTCCAATTCATTCTACCAAAGGAAGATGAGCTTACCTTATCAGCAACATCCACCCTGGCCTTTCGATTAAACAAGAAATCCACCGCAGATAAATGATTTGCCCCCACTGCAAAATGCAGGGCTGTGCGGTTCATCTGAGGAAACATAACTGTGTTTTCAGTAATCCGATTTTTATTTAGCCTTTTTAAGATTCCTGTTTCTAGAATGACCATAATTTTCTATCAGGGGCTTGTACTTTTATTACTTATCTACTTGTTTCTGTCTTTGAAAGTAGTGAGAATTGTATCTAGCATACTCTTGCCTTCATCTATTATCAGAAATACCAGAGAATTTGGCAGTCCACTGGAGGATATGCCCCACGCTGAAATCCATTGCATAACTTATCACTGCAAGTAACAATAGAACGAATTTCAAATTAGAGTAGAAGTTATATTTTCCCCATATGCAATCATTAAAAATGGTAAATGTTTCCTGGTTAGAATATATTGATAATGTATAACAAAAATTTTTCCTAGATTCTCAATATATACATATGTGGTCTTCTGTGATTTTTTGGACTGTCAATTTTACTGAAGCAAACAAATTCTTCTGAAAGGGAGGGAATGGGGAAGAGAGGAGAAAGAAATAGGCACAGAGAAAGGAAGCTATGGTCCTAGCTGGCTTGGCTCAGTGGATAGAGTGTTGGCCTACAGACCAAAGGATTTTGGGTTCGATTCTGGTCAAGGGCACGGATCTCGGCTGCAGGCTCTGGGGGACATTCCGAAGGCAACCAATCGATGTGTCTCTCTCATATTGGTGTTTTCCTCTGTCTCCCTCTCTCCTTCTCACTCTCTCTAAAAATCAACGGGAAAAATATCCTCGGGTGAGAATAAAAACAAAGAAAGCTATAAATATCTTTTGCTTCGAAGGAAAGCCACCATGGTGCGCCTGAGATGTCCAGAGACAGCTCAATGTGTTTCAAACAACGGATGCTTTGCTTGCAAATAAAACTTGTCTCAGATTTCCCATATTCTAGACACTGCTTTTGCTTCCAAAGAAGGTGCCTGGACATTGATTTATTATCTTTTGTTTCATATAAAAAAATTTATTGCAAAAATATGAGAACTGTTTAAATTAAACATCTGATTTCCTTGGTAGCTAAACTGATGAAAAACTAAGTTAGACAAAACATTACTTATCTTGACATTGTCCGAAATCTAGAGCTATGTTGAAGTATGTCAAATTTGGTCTTATACAACCCCTTAACTTTATTTGTGAATAAAAATGCAAGTCAAAACAACATCCAAGATAATTCAATAAAACCACCTACAGTTTTTCATCTCTATCATCTCAGATTTTTAAGGAACATTACAAGTAATCATGTCAACAATTTACCATAAACAGGCCTAATAGAGATGTCATTATAAGGAATAATACAATTCACCAGGAGTATTTCTCCAAATACTTTAATATAAAAAATATGCTTTAAAATATCAGGAAGTTATATGTAAAAAAAAAACTGAAATGGTTATAAAATTATATTCAAGAATCTATTTCCTGCTACTTGGAAAAATGATTACTGTAAAATATTCTTACTGCTTTACTTATTCAACAATTAAGTTTCAAAGATCCTTGCTTTTTCTCTCTCATTTTTTCCTTAATTCCTTTCCTTTTTTCTTTTTTTTGTTACTAAAACTGTTATGCTGCAAACTTTTGCTCTTCTAAGAGGTATATAGACAATGAATATATATACCCGTAACACATCAAACACCCACACATGTACATAATATACACATAAACACATATCCCCTCACATACACACATGAATAACTGCTAAACATCCTTCCCCTGCATATGATGCAAGACTTCAGTTTCTATGACCTCACTGCCTGGAGCAAATCCAGGTTTTGTGGAACCTGAAGTTTACACTCTTTAGGGAGCCCCATTTGACGCCAGAGTCAGAAAACTTAACCGATGGTAGTTAAAATTTCTCACTTTATATTTTACAAAATCATACTGCCATGGGAACATTTGCTAGAACCCTCTGAATGCCTTGGAACTTCTGTTTTATTTAACATTAAATTCACCTCCGACATCCCTACCTTGCACCACTCCACAAATTGTCCTAGGCAACTGACACAGTCCCCAACCAGTTCACTTTAACAAACCCTACTTTGAGGGGCTATCAGGGAATCCCCACAAAACCAAGCAGTAGGAAATTTCTATTCTGGCAGTGGGCTTCTCCCCCAAACCCAACCACTCGAAGAACAACTAAGAGCCAGGTTTCAGAAAGGGCTCCATTGCCCAACATGTACTATATTTCAAAAGCAGTAGAATGAAAACCCATGCTGCCTTTAGATTTTAAACGTGGAAGAACCGAACACACAGGACATAATGGGGAGAAAACAACCCAGAGATGTAGCAAAAAAAGTTCTGCCCTCCCAGAATGTGTGGCCAGAGTCATCCACAGGCTATCATCGAGGACCAAGCCCAGGCCCATAACCTCGACAGCTGGCTTTACTGCACACCCACAGACTTTGCACAGATGTGCATGACGACCACGTGCACTTCCCCTCTTTAAGATAAATTGGAACTCCCAGAGCCTATTCCAGTGCTGATTTCACCTTTAGGTTATACACTCTGGAATTACCAACAACAGAGATCTCCCTTATTTCATCCAGCACAATCATTTTTATTTTTATTATATTTCAGTTGACCTGTGTAAACCCAAGCCACCCTTAGAGTAGTCACTGTCATGTTAGTGAGTTCTATTCACGTTGTTGACAGCATTAATGTTAACCTTCTTTTCAAACAGCTTCTCCATAAGATCCAAATTATTGCTTTCAGCAGCACTCTGGAGGCTTCTCTCATTTGGCAATACTGAAAGCAAGCAAGTGAGCATGACTGGGGGGATTTAAAGAGGATGAAGAAAAAGCAAACCTCATTTGGTAAACCTTTTAACTCTAAAAACTTGGAACAACAGCCTTGAGCCTTTCTCATTCTGCCATTCTGAACACAGGAACTTCGCTTCAGTGTTTTATAAAGCTGCAGTGCTAACATGCTGCTTTCTCCTCGCTCTACAAGTGTTTTCACACGCTTAAAAGTATCCTGGTCCCAACAAATAACGATTCCCGAGGACCACCCTGAAGTCAGCAATGTAGTATCTGGCTCTAGGAGGCTGGACGGTGGCCAAGGACTTCCCAAGGGACGTTGTTTGTAAAATGTTTATACAAGATTAGACAGGGGGAAGCCCAAATGCTCTGTACAGAGATAAAATTGTTGTCTGCAGAACCCTGTGCAGATGCCAGGCTGCCAAAACAAAACTTTAAAATGCAGCACATCCCAAAACCCTAATTCAAAAGAATATATGCAACCCTATGTTCACTGCAGCGTTATTTACAATAGCCAAGATATGGAAGTAGCCCAAGGGTCCATCAGTAGATGAGTGGATGAAAAAAAGCCGTGGTACATTTACACAATGGAATATTACTGGGTCATTTAAAAAAAGAAATTTTGCCTTTTGTGACAGCATGGATGGACCTGGAGAGTATTATGCTAAGTGAAATAAGCCAGTCAGAGAAAGACAAATACCATATGATTTCACTTATATGTGGAATCTAATTAACAAAATAAATTCATAAAGTGGAGACAGACTCCTGAATACAGAGAACAGACTGACAGCCGTCAGAGGGAAGGGGAAAGGGGACTGGGTGAGAAGGGTGAAGGGATTAAGCAAAGAAAAACTCATGGACACAGACAATGGCATGGTGATTGCCAAAGGAAAAGGGGAAGTGGGGGAGATAGAAGGTAAAGGGGAGATAAATGGTGATGGAAGGAGACTTGGAATATAAACACACAATACAATATACAGATGTATTGTAAAATTGTATACCTGAAACCTGTATGATTTTATTAACCAACTAGAGTCCGTGCACCGGTGGGGTCCCTCGGTCTGGCCTGTGCCCTCTCACAATCTGGAACTCCTCAGGGGATGTCAGACTGCCAGTTTCGGCCCAATCCCCACAGGTGAGGCCAAGGGACCCCCCACCAGTGCATGAATTTGTGCACCAGGCCTCTAGTATGCATATAAGATCTTTGGTTAATCTCTTCCCGCCCTCCCCCTCCCCCTTCCCTTTGAGATTCATCAGTGTATTCCATGTTTCCAAGCCTGTGCATTGAGTGTCTGCCCCCTGGTTGTCAGTGTGCGTCATAGCTACCGGTCGAACAGTCAAACGGTCCGCCGGTTGCTTAGGTTTTTATATATATAGATTGATATGTAGGGGAGGAGAGGGCTCACAGGGGACAATCCCAACACTGGGGGATAAAGTCAGAATTGGAAAAATGTGAAATCAACAATAAACCATCTCCAAAAAGAAAGGACCCTAAGAGAGGTTTTGTAGATGTATTGCTGAGTAGCTTCCCTAGCATCTACCAAAGACTCTTTATAATGCCACCAAGTCCAATCAAAGACCAGGGAGTGTCTTCATTCTTTCCATCACCTGATCCCTCTCTCCTTCCGCCCCTCCTCTTGTTACCACCCTGTAAGCCAACATCCATGAAGCACCTAGTCTCAGTTCCCTGCTCCCTGCCCTAATCATCTTACCCTTGACCGGCTCATCCTCAAAAACTACTTCTCACATCTCACTTAGGCTCTGAATCCCACCCCTTCTCATCCATCACTTCACATATCAGTTTCCTAGACATTCTCTCCTTTCTTGTCTGAATCATTTAATCATTCACCTCAAAGTACACAGCGATGCTATAATCCCTCCAGTGCAACCCCCCCAAACTGTCTCTCAACCTACGTTCCTTTCAACGGGCCTCAGTTTATAATACAAATGGATCCCCAAGCACAGCTGATCCGTTCCCTGCTTTAAAAACTAAGTACGGAAAACCGACTTACTTAGTCACACAATAAATCAGTGCATGAGTCAGGCTCTGAGGTAACAGCACGTAAAACCCTTATTTGTAAAAGGGCTTAATCATTTCTACAAAAATGCTCTTCCTTATGTGGGAAGAACAGTTCCTTCCACTCACAGTCCAGGCCTCACCTGGGAAACGTGAACCGAACGGGGCTGGGGTGGATGCCGAGGTTGAGCCCACGTGCAGGGAGCGCAGGGCTGAGGCTGGGGTCCACGGCGGGTGCGAG